GATTATAGCACTAATCACAGAGTATATGTACTATATATGATTTTTTATTATATTGTCCCTCTGCATTGCACTCTGTTTGATGCTCTGGGATGGCGGGTCAGCAAGCCCTGATTGTGATCTACCAGTCACCTGGCCGAGATCTACTGGTAGATTATGATTTACTGGTTGCTGACCCCTGGTGTAAACAAAGGCAATGTTTCTGATCCACGCAGGCTGCCCATGTCAGGCAAAGTGCAGTACACAACAGCAGGTATTTAACAGACAATCCACCAATCAGTGCTGCAAACAGAGGTAAAACCCCACCCCACATCACAATGATGTCATAAGCCTGCCATAACACTCTCTTTAAAAATTACTGAAAAAAAACAATCCTACAGTATTTTCTAACAGCATAATAGCCATCAATGCTAATGCCGGTGAATACCTGCCTACAGTACTACAAACAAGTCAGGTACAGTATGTAAGATTTTTTAAATATACTGGATTTCAACTATTAAATAATCATTCCTTTTTGAGAGATTGATGGATTTGGGCCTTATAATGACTAAATAATATTCTACTCCATGTCCCATTTCTGCTGACATTGGTAATCCAACTGTTAGTGTAATCTTATCTGATTGTTAGTGAAATCTTAGAACTTTGTTGCCTGTCTTAGGGATGTATATTTCTGCAAGATACTGGAAAACAGAAATGCTCTGAAGCAAAGAAATTTTATGTAAAAACCAAAGAAAAACTAGCATACTATCATTATTTAGAACCATCAAGTTTATAGCTGAAGAATCAAAGATCCTAATAGCCGTGTAAATCATTATAGTGACTCTAGAGTACAGGGTAATAAATTTGAACATTTGCCTGTTCTGCTCCCACATAATATTATTTGCAAGTTAACTCATTCAAGCATTTACAGTGTGCTCTAAATTGTTTTTTTTTTTTTTTTTTTTTAATGAAAGTGCCTGATGCTAAGATTTTGTGTTACAGTGGTCTAATATAGCACAGAATGTATGTTAAACAGAAAGTATATACAGTAAGTAAAATTTATATTAAAATAAAGGGGGAATGCATATTCACATATTAATTTGCAGGCAATGGGTTTATCATTATGTCAATTTTTGATTATATAATCTGTAAAACCTGTTGTGCAAAATAGCACTTGCAAGACGCAACAGGGTTGATTTACTAAAACTGGAGAGTGCAAAATCTTGTGCAGCTCTGCAGAGAAACCAATCCGCTGTCAGGATGTTTTGTCAAAGCTTAATTGAACAAGCTGAGGTTAGAAGCTGATTGACTACCATGCACAGCTGCATCAGATTTTTTTGCTTTCCAGTTTTAGGAAATCAACCCCAACATCTACTTTTTGTTGCTGGCTGCTGGTCTTCAGTGAAATTGGTCATAGATGCATCTTTTCTTTTTCTTTTTTGATCAACTGGTTTGGGGCTCCTCCACTGTCAGACTACACTGATCAGTGCTACGGCTTATTGGATGCATGCGCTGATTGAGTGAAAATTTTTCAGCATTCCTGTTTGATAGAAGCTGATCATTAGATTGACTTCCCTCAATCAGGAATGACCATAGACTCAAGATTTCTTGGCCTGTGTGGTGCCACATCCCAATAATTAGAATTTGAAAGGACATTTGACATGGTGCGATTTTCAAGGCACAGCACAACCATTCTCATAAAATATACATTTTATTGATACATGCACAATAAAACAATTTTTTACATCATTTGTATAACTATGGATTCTATGCAGAGCTGCACCAGAGTTTGCACTCTCCACTTTTTGTAAATCAAGCCCCATTATCTCCTTTCAGTGCTTAGGTTTCAGCGCCTCTCTAGCGCACACAAAACATCTGCTGTTAGAGAATGGAGAATGAATGTTCATCAATACATTGGTTCACCCCTGGGAATAGAATTGGAACCCACATCTACTTTTACAAGTCCAGGTAGATCATCAGGAATTAATTAGAGCACAGGGCTTCCTTTTACATATAGGCATTATTTTTAAAAAAAGTATGTGCAAGGATTCTTTGTTGTTTATCAATTGAAAAGAAATCATGAAGTCATGAAAGAAATATAGAACTTGCCATTCTCTGCTTTTTTGAAGGTCTGTCTACCTTCCTATAATCCTTAATCCCCTGATGCTGACCATACACAAATTAGCGGCCTCACAGAACTGGGCTTTTTTCTGTGGGGCTGCTAAATTGCATACCTATCTTTGTGCTGGGAGCGCGTTGCATGGTGCGCTCCCAGCACAAAGACCGGGGTGTCACTGAGAGTCTCGGGGTCCGTTCTAATGATCGGGACCTAGAAATCCAGATTCCGGGTCACCTGATCACTGTGATAGCCTCTGATTTGCTATAGCAGAGATCAGTCACTGTGAAGCCTGCAACCCTTGTTTTCTCTCTCTGAATGAAGGAGAGAGATACATTGTATCTCTCTATGTCCTTTAACCTCCCTAGCGGTCTGATTATTTCAGATTTTTGGTGCTGAAAGCGGTACCATTATTTTTTTCATGGAAATATGTTGTTTTTTTATTGTAGGCTGTAATTTTTAGGAATAACTCACTGAAATCTGTCCGAACAAGAGTCTATTTAACATCCCGGATATGATAAAATTTGAAATACGAAATCATAAATTATAATTTAATAAATAATCATAAAAAATAATAATATAATAATAATACATTTAATTCAATAATATAATGAAACCAAAAACACTGAAATTTGAAATAGAGCGCCAAGTTCGCTGTCAGGGCTCCCAGGTGTGACCAGAGGTGTGTGGCTGACGCAGGGAAACGCAGACCTCAGATATGTTAATTTATTAACACTAACAATACAAACATAAACGCAGTGCAATACTAAAACATAATACAGTGCAACCAAACCAACCCAAACCAACCACCCACAGATAACAGTACATACAAGCAAGCGTCGTCAGGCAGGCCGGGTCAATATCAATAGGGCAGGTAGGTACAGGGGGAGCAAGCGGAGATTGGTCGGGGTCACAGGCCAGGTTCAGCAGGTAGCAAGCAGCGTAGTACAGAGGGTCAGGCAGAGGGATGGTCAGGGTCACAAGCCAGGGATCAGAACAGGTAGCAAGCAGCGTGGTACAGAGGGTCAGGCAGAGGGATGGTCAGGAGCGAGCCGGGATCAGAGCAGGAGAAGTCAGCAGCGGTTCAGAAACAGGATGCAGGACAGACACAGGATACAGGGCCCAGGACAAACACAACACCAAGGCAGAGTCTGTGGGTCTGGCCATCCCTTAAATACCCCAGCATAATCAGTTCCAGGTGTTAGCTGGCTGCAAAGTTGAGTCTCTGATTGCTGGGAGCATCCGCTGGCCAGCCCTGGTACTGCAGATCAAAAGGCAGGTGAGTCCCACCATTGCTGGCCAGTCCATTCTGACAGTACCCCCCCTCAAGGAGCGGCCTCAGGACGCTCCAAACAGTCCTAGCTGGGAAAAATGTTCCACCGCCCGGGTCTGGTAACTGGCGGGATATCAAAGACTGGCACACCGGGCAGGACTCCGGGCAGCGGTACACCGGGCTGGGCACATCGGGCAGGGCACACCGGGCAGAGGCACATCGGGCAGAGGCACATCGGGCTGGACTCCGGGCAGAGGCACACCGGGCAGAGGCACATCCGGGCTGGACTCCGGGCAGAGGCACACCGGGCTGGACTCCGGGCAGAGGCACACCGGGCAGAGGCACATCGGGCTGGACTCCGGGCAGAGGCACACCGGGCAGAGGCACATCGGGCTGGACTCCGGGCAGAGGCACACCGGGCAGAGGCACATCGGGCTGGACTCCGGGCAGAGGCACACCGGGACAGGGCAGAGGCACATCGGGCTGGACTCCGGGCAGAGGCACATCGGGCTGGACTCCGGGCAGAGGCACACCGGGCAGAGGCACATCGGGCTGGACTCCGGGCAGAGGCACACCGGGCAGAGGCACACATCGGGCTGGACTCCGGGCAGAGGCACATCGGGCTGGACTCCGGGCAGAGGCACATCGGGCTGGACTCCGGGCAGAGGCACATCGGGCTGGACTCCGGGCAGAGGCACATCGGGCTGGACTCCGGGCAGAGGCACATCGGGCTGGACTCCGGGCAGAGGCACATCGGGCTGGACTCCGGGCAGAGGCACACCGGGCTGGACTCCGGGCAGAGGCACACCGGGCTGGACTCCGGGCAGAGGCACACCGGGCTGGACTCCGGGCAGAGGCACACCGGGCTGGACTCCGGGCAGAGGCACACCGGGCTGGACTCCGGGCAGAGGCACACCGGGCTGGACTCCGGGCAGAGGCACATCGGGCAGAGGCACATCGGGCAGAGGCACATCGGGCTGGACTCCGGGCAGAGGCACATCGGGCAGGACTCCGGGCAGAGGCACATTGGGCAGGACTCCGGGCAGAGGCACATCGGGCAGGACTCCGGGCAGAGGCACATTGGGCAGGACTCCGGGCAGAGGCACATCGGGCAGGACTCCGGGCAGAGGCACATCGGGCTACCAGGCGAAGCAGCAGGCAGCAGGCCACCAGGCGGAGCAGCAGGCACCGGGCCCCCGGGCGGAGCGGCAGGCACCGGGCCCCCGGGCGGAGCGGCAGGCACCGGGCCCCCGGGCGGAGCGGCAGGCACCGGGCCCCCAGGCGGGGCGACAGGCACCGGGCCCCCAGGCGGGGCGACAGGCATCGGGCCCCCAGGCGGGGCGACAGGCATCGGGCCCCCAGGCGGAGCGGCGGGGCCCGGACCCCCAGGCGGAGCTACAGGTCTCGGGCCCTCAGGCGGAGCGGCGGGCGCCGGACCCCCAGATGGAGCGACAGGTCTCGGGCCCTCAGGCGGAGCGGCGGGCGCCGGACCCCCAGATGGAGCGACAGGTCTCGGGCCCTCAGGCGGAGCGGCGGGCGCCGGACCCCCAGATGGAGCGACAGGTCTCGGGCCCTCAGGCGGAGCGGCGGGCGCCGGACCCCCAGATGGAGCGACAGGCCTCGGGCCCCCAGGCGGGGCGACAGGCATCGGGCCCCCAGGCGGGGCGACAGGCATCGGGCCCCCAGGCGGGGTGACAGGCATCGGGCCCCCAGGCGAGGCGGGCGGGTGCCGGGACCCCCAGGCAGAGTTACAGGTCTCGGGCCCTCAGGCGGAGCGGCGGGCGCCGGACCTCCAGATGGAGCGACAGGTCTCGGGCCCTCAGGCGGAGCAACAGGTCTCGGGCCCCCAGACGAAGCGGCGGGCATCGAATCACCAGGCACGACAGTGGGCACCGAGTCATCTGGCAAGACTGCGGGCACCGAGTCAACTGGCGGAACAGCGGCACCGAGTCGTCTGGCAAGACTGCGGGCACCGAGTCAACTGGCGGAACAGCGGGCATCGAGTCAACTGGCGGGACTGCGGGCACCGAGTCGTCTGGCAAGACTGCGGGCACCGAGTCGTCTGGCAAGACTGCGGGCACCGAGTCAACTGGCGGAACAGCGGGCACCGAGTCGTCTGGCAAGACTGCGGGCACCGAGTCGTCTGGCAAGACTACGGGCACCGAGTCGTCTGGCAAGACTGCGGGCACCGAGTCAACTGGCGGAACAGCGGGCATCGAGTCAACTGGCGGGACTGCGGGCACCAAGTCGTCTGGCAAGACTGCGGGCACCGAGTCGTCTGGCAAGACTGCGGGCACCGAGTCAACTGGCGGAACAGCGGGCATCGAGTCAACTGGCGGAACAGCGGGCATCGAGTCAACTGGCGGGACTGCGGGCACCGAGTCATCTGGCAAGACTGCGGGCACCGAGTCAACTGGCGGAACAGCGGGCACCGAGTCGTCTGGCAAGACTGCGGGCACCGAGTCGTCTGGCAAGACTGCGGGCACCGAGTCGTCTGGCAAGACTGCGGGTACCGAGTCGTCTGGCAAGACTGCGGGCACCGAGTCAACTGGCGGAACAGCGGGCACCGAGTCAACTGGCGGAACAGCGGGCATCAAGTCAACTGGCGGGACTGCGGGCACCGAGTCGTCTGGCAAGACTGCGGGCACCGAGTCGCCTGGCAAGACTGTGGGCACCGAGTCAACTGGCGGAACAGCGGGCATCGGGTCACCAGGTATGACAGCGGGCACTGGGTCACCAGGCATCAGGTCATTTGGCTTGCCAGCGGGCACCGCGTCATCTGGCAAGGCAGTGGGCACCGGGTCACCAGGTATGACAGCGGGCTCTGAGTCAATTGGCACGACAGCGGGCACTGGATCAGGTACCGGATCAACAGCGGGCATCGAGTCAACTGGCCTAATAGGATCGTCGGGCTGGATCAGTTCATCATGCTGAGTAGCGGCATCAGGCTGAATGTTTACATACAAGCAAGCGTCGTCAGGCAGGCCGGGTCAATATCAATAGGGCAGGTAGGTACAGGGGGAGCAAGCGGAGATTGGTCGGGGTCACAGGCCAGGTTCAGCAGGTAGCAAGCAGCGTAGTACAGAGGGTCAGGCAGAGGGATGGTCAGGAGCGAGCCGGGATCAGAGCAGGAGAAGTCAGCAGCGGTTCAGAAACAGGATGCAGGACAGACACAGGATACAGGGCCCAGGACAAACACAACACCAAGGCAGAGTCTGTGGGTCTGGCCATCCCTTAAATACCCCAGCATAATCAGTTCCAGGTGTTAGCTGGCTGCAAAGTTGAGTCTCTGATTGCTGGGAGCATCCGCTGGCCAGCCCTGGTACTGCAGATCAAAAGGCAGGTGAGTCCCACCATTGCTGGCCAGTCCATTCCTGACATTCGCACATTGCTGAGCAAAGTCGCAAAATCGTTTTCAGTGTCTGATGACGAATTTCCCCACGAATCATTATCACTCAATTCTGCAAGTGGTTCTGATTTACTATTGCTGTTCTCTAGCTGATCTAAACCCACTTTTGACCAAAAGGGATGCTTTTTGGACGCCATGGACTTTTCTCAGTTTCGTGGCAGAAACAACAGACAAAATGCAGTCCCGACGTCACAGGGACCGGAACACAGAAGCCGGATGCCGGCATCGGCCGGAGGAGATGGCCGGGGATGCTGCAGGGGACACATCGCGGGAGTGAAGGACAAAGTAAGCTCTGCAGGGACTCCGTATGCAGCACCGCATGGTAAGCCCGAGTGTAGCTTGGGGTTACCACTTTTGGTACTGACATTTTACCCCGAGCTACACTCGGGAATACCACTAAGGAGGTTAAGAGAGAAAAAAAACAAGCATGTGTAAAACATAATGAATAAAATAAAAAAAAATAAACAAAAATACCTAGATCAAGGTAAGTGCCAGGGTTAGGGTTTCGGTCCAGGTCAGGGTCAAAGATCAAGGTCAGTTTCAAAGGTCAGGGTCATTTTTTTTGGTCAGAATTTTTTTTTTAATTTTTAAATTAGTATCAGTGTCAGTTAATGGCAGGATAAAAAAAAAAAAGCAAATTGTACACTATTGTTTCTGGGCTGTACTACGGGTACAAACAACAACTAACATACAAACATGTGGCATCGCTGCAATCATCAGGAGCAGAAGAAATTTTTTTGGGTTGTTCTTTGGTGGTAGGTTACATTAGTAGCAAGAAATATATAGCTAAATTTAAAAAAAAGTTTTTTTTGTACTATTGTGGGCCAGATTTCCTTTGGTAATAATAAAAAATCAGGAGCTCTCCATTACCATTTACCACCAAATGAAAGCCCAATTTGTCCTGAAAAAAAACAAGGTATAATCCACCCGGATGCACAAAGTAGTTGTGATGATATGTACGGCTTTGCTAACACATGTCAAGGTTGCAAAATTGTGCTTAGGCATTAAGATTTTCACCCCTTAGGCTTTAAGGGGTTAAAGTTGATCTCTACGCAGACATAACAGACACAGATTAGTGAAGCTCTGTAATCAATACTACATCTGTAAAAGTATGTACTTAAATGTATCAGTCTAAGTGCCTGAATTTAACTTGGTATCAGCAGCACACACATGCAATCAATTTTGTTGCAGTGCAATAGACATGCTGATAGGAGAAGAGAGCAGAATGACAGAGAGATGAGCTCATCAATGTGCTGAGGAGACCTGTATGTGACTGTGAAGTGAAACTTCAGCAGAGAAAGATCAAGCCCCCCACTCTGCAAGACAGTACTGTGCTCAGGATTTGGTGGACATAGATCCAAATCCCTTTGCCAGGTAAAACAGATCCCTTATATGTATCCCATCTGTGTTTTAGCTGTTTTCCTTCAGCTTAGCTGATTTAGTGAATCAGTGAACCACTAACTTAAAACAGGCATTTGCATATATTTTGTGCTGAAACCTAATATATACATGTGTTTTCCGGGTCAGAGACTCACCAATTATCCAGTGGTATCAAAGTCCCGTGAAATCTTTGTGTACTCGCTATTCAGTTTCACATATCCAGCATCCAAAGGAAATACAGGTGCCATGGTCTGATTTGCTAAGTAATTTCCAGTTTGTAATAAAATGTTTCACAGCAAGGTAAGGTGTTTTTTTTCCATGAGAACTATATAGAGAATAGATAATCCTTGATCCATGACAAAAAGAAATACCAACTGGAGATTTATCCTACTTGAGAGATTTCCCTTTTCACCTAATGAAAGGGACACAACTTATACCCTATAATAACCTATAGGGTTCACAGTTAATTGAAAAGCAGCATTTCCCCTTAAAGCTTATGTAAACCCAAATACTAAGATCTCATACAGTATATGCTTTCACATGTTAATGTGATTTTCATTATTTTTAAATCTACAAATTTTACTAAAATAATACACGGCCATCCTATCCTGAAGGTTCAGGCACTTCCTAGTACAGGGTAATAACGCTCTGTGTCCCTGCCTCCTGGCTGTGTTGCTACATTGTAACCCTGTCACATGCTTCCAATGAAGACTACAAGTTGCTGGTAAAATATCATGCAGTCAACTCTGGAGAGCATGCATGCAAATAGGAAAAGGCTTGAAAGAGACCGCAGGAGATCAACAGCAGTGAGATTCAACAAATATAAAAAAAATGGAAACAAATATGTTGTTAATTAAAAAGGGTTATCATCTATTTTACCACTATCTGGTCTTGGCTATCATTTGTAAACTGGAGCAGTGAATCCCCTACTGTTTCTAGCGGGTTCTCACATGCTGAGCCCTGATGACCCCAGGGCTTGTCTGTTACAAATGCCGCTCCAAAATGAAATATGCTGCTCAATGGTATTTTAAATTGAGTTCTATACTTATGTCATACTTCAGTTATAGCAAATAGTTCAAAAAATATTTAGAGACATAGAACAGTGATGGCAGAAAAAAGACTGGGTTGTCCATTGAGTCTGCTCTTTTTTTTGTGTTTGGGTAGGTTTATTTTATTTATTTTTGGGGGGGGGGGTTTGTTTTGTTTTTTTTTAACTTTTTTTGTCTGAGTATAGTTCTATGCTTGTCCCAAGCATGTTACTTTTAGTAAATTATTTTAGTAAGTTATTTACTGTTGACTGGCTCACTAGCTCTTCTGGAAGTTTATTCCAAGCATCAACTACTCTTTCAATAAAATAGCACTTTCTGAGATTAGTTTTGAACTTTCCTCCAGTTAGTTTAATGTCATGTCCCCGTGTTCTTGATTTTGGTGTTAAAAACACTGCCCTCCTGAACCTTATTCACCCCCTTGATGTATTTAAAGGTTTTAGTCATGTCTCCCCTTTCCCTCCTTTCCTCTAGACTGTACATGGTAAGTTCCTGAAGTCGCTCTTGATATGTTTTATCCTCCGGACCTTTCACCACTTTTTTTACCCGTCTCTGGACTCGTTCTATCTTATAGACACAGTATTCTAAATGAGGTCTAACTAAAGATCTATATAGAGGAATCAGGACCTCCTTCCTCCTGTGGTGACCCCTCTAGTGATACATCCTAGAATTCTATTCGCTTTCCCCATTGCCTGGCCACATTGTTTGCTCCTTTTGCAATCATCTGAAATAAGTACCATCAAGTCCTTTTCCTCTGTAGTGCTGGCCAACACTGTAGCCCCAATGTTTTACTCTCTCAAGGGATTCTTTTTCCCTAGGTACATTATTTTACATTTAGAAACATTGAACTGCAAATTCCATTTTTTTAACCAATCTTCCAGCAATGCCAAATCATGCTCCATGTTACATACAGTTCCAGGAATATCAACCCTATTGCACACCTTGGTGTCATCAGCAAAAATACATACCTTACCCAACAAACTTTTAGTTATATTACTTACATATAGATTAACCACTTGTCTACCGGGAACTTATACCCCCTTCCTACCCAGGCCAATTTTCAGCTTTCAGCGCTGTCATTTTTTTCACACAAATAGAGCTTTCTTTTTGCAGCAATGATGGGCACTGATATGCTGCACTGATGGGCAGCACTGATGGGTGGCACTGACTGACGGCACTGACTGGAGGCACTAATGGGTGGCACTGATGGGTGGCACTGCTGGGCACTGGTGGGTGGCACTTCTAGGCACTGATGGGCACAGAAGGGGGCACTGATGGATACAGGTGGGTGGCACTGCATGGCACTTGTGGGTGGCACTGCTGGACACAGGTGAGTGGCACTGGTGGTTGGCACTGCTGGGCATTGATCATCATGACACTGATCATCAGTGCCCTGATGATAAGTGCAGATCTTTTTTCTGACAATTGGCAGCGTGAGGAAAGTGCAGCCGATAACCGGCAACTGCATTTACCAGGTTATCTGCTGTCATCTAAGGACACAGCTGATTATGGAGATCGCCAGGTGCGCACCGTTTTGGCAGCAATGATGGGCACTGATATGCTACACTGATGGACAGCACTGATAGGCACTGATGGGTGGCACTGATTGACGGCACTGACTGGAGGCACTGAAGGGTGGCACTGCTGGGCACTGGTGGGTGGTACTGCTAGGCACTGATGGGCACAGAGGGGGGCACTGATGGGCACAGGTGGGTGGCACTGCTTGGCACTTGTGGGTGGCACTGCTGGACACAGGTGGGTGGCACTGCTGGGCACTGATCATCACGGCACTGATCATCAGTGCCCTGATGATAACTGCAGATCTGTTTTCTGACAATTGCCGGTTATCGGCAGTTCTTTCCTCACGCTGTGGCAGCGTGAGGAAAGTGCAGCTGATAACCGGCAATTGCATTTACCAGGTGATCTGCTGTCATCTACGGACACAGCTGATCATGGAGATCGCCAGGTGCGCACCGTTGGGGACGCACGGGAGTTCGCATTCTGGGGGGACAACTGGAGAACTGGACAACCGCGCTGTAGTCATCATTCAGCTATAGAGCAGTTGCCAAGTGGTTAAATAGAACAAGACCTGGTACACCACTAGTGACTGGTCTCTTTTCCGAGTGAACCCCATTTACAACCACACTGTGGCATTTATCCTTTAGCCAGCTTCATATCCACTGAACCACCCAGGGGCTAACTCCTTTTGATTGCAAAGTAAATTTTATAATGCTCATAAAAGACAGCATAAATACATTTGAGAATTTATATGTACATACAACAACAGTAAATGCATATTAGATTTTTAGATCCATAAATTGTTCAAATTAAAAGGTGTTATATTGTACATCTTATTTTTGTGTTATATGTGTATAGAAGTTAATTCACAAAAATAAGTGGTTTTCATTACTTAAAATATTTCTAGTTTTTAACTTGCATTAAAAGCAATAGTAAACTGCAAAAAAAGGGGGGGCCCAGCAGGATAACGTCATAATGTGCTAGTATGCACATTGTGACAGATTTACCTTAAAACAAAGCCTTCCAGTGGCGCACTGTCACAACTGACAGGACTTCCATCTTCATCTGGCTCTCCACCCAGGTTCATGGGCTCCAGCCATTTGAATGGCCCAGCCGTGATGATGTCACTCCCGTGCATATGCGCTGGAGTCGGCCATGACATAGTTCTTTCAATAGATGGCATTCTGTTCATTGAGAGCGCACTGCGCATGTGCCGGTGGTGATGTCACCAGCTGCTACTAAAGTAAATATCTTCAAAACAGTGCATTTAGCAGATATTTAATGTATCGATAGGTAAGGCTTATTATAGACTCCAGGACACTAAAAAAGTATTTATATTTTATTCAATTGTTAAAATGTATCTAAACCCAAATCCTTAAAATGTACCTGTGCCCAGATTATGGACATATGCATATTTGCATATTTTTAAGGCAGAACTAAATTCCCTGTGTGCAAGTGAGCTTTTTCCATTATGTTTTAGTATGTACAGCGTACTTGCATGTTATGGCACGCTTACCTCTGAGGGTGCCCTTATTCAACAGTCAAAGGTTTGCTCTCACATGTTAATTTTTCTGGGTCCTGTGAAGCTCCTGACCACTGATGATGAACGGAGTTAGATCATCCCCAGCAATCAACTTTGTTCTCGGCATGCTGAGAATAAGCCAGAATGTACTGAACAAGTGAAAATTGCTAGGAGCATAGGGAAAAGTTTTGTTCTTTTTTGGTAAAGGAGAATTTACATGTCTCTTTTGAGAAAACAACAATAACTCCTGGTGACTTTAAGTGGGCTTTACTACCTTAAGAAGCACTATACCAGCTATAACAACTTCCTTTAACAGACCAAGCTGTCCAGTGAAAGTGGCAATTAGAGGTTTGAAACAACCCATTTACCACTGACAGGGGTGCTTACAATAGATTTGATTCATTTATGTAAAACCTTTATGCCAAAAGGAAAAATCTGTTGCTGTAGATGTTTAAAAAATGTTAATTTGAGTTCAACTTTAATTTTAAAACATTAATTGAGTTTCTAGCTGGTTCACCAGGTAAAAATAAAGGAAAAAACCTAAAAAAAAGTAAACTAATTAAGCCACCATGTTTATGGATTGGTAAGCTGAAACATAATACATTTTTGTTTTTGGGTATAATACCACTTTAAATTACTATTTAAAAGAAATAAAAACAATTGCATACATATGCAATCTTTAGGTTAGTTCATTCAATTACTTTCCAAGCAAATTAATAGCTAAACTTATGCCATATATGCAGGGGTGGACTGACAACTCATGGGGCCCCCGGGCAATAGGGAATCATGGGGCCCCTGTGTCCTTGCCCAAACTCAAAAAAGCCTATGAAAAAGGTACCAGGGGCATCTCATTGGGGCCCCCTACTGACGCCGGGCCCTCGGGCAGTGCCCGAGTTTCCAAATGGTCAGTCCGCCCCTGCATATATGTACTCTATATATGTAGTATTCTATTACATTTAATAATACACTATATTACCAAACGTATAGGGACACCCCTCCAAATCATTGGATTCAGGTGTTCCAATCACCTCCTTATGGCCACAGGTGTATAAAATCAAGCACCTAGGTATGCAGACTGCTTCTACAAACATTTGTGAAAGAATGGGTCGCTCTCAGGAGCTCAGTGAATTCAAATGTGGTACCGTGATAAGTTGCCACTTGTGCATGCTGAAGTGCACAGTGCGCAAAAGTCGCCAACTGTCTGCAGAATCAATAGCTAAAGACCTCCAAATTTTATGTGGCCTTCAGATTAGCACAACAACAGTGCGTAGAGAACTTCATGGAATGGGTTTCTATGGCTGAGCAGCTGCATCCAAGCCTTACATCACCAAGTGCAATGCGAAGCTTCAGATGCAGTGGTGTAAAGCACTCCACCACTGGACTCTAGAGCAGTGAAGATGTGTTCTCTGGAGTGACGAATCACGCTTCTCTGTCTGGCAATCCGATGGACGTGTCTAGGTTTGGCGGTTGCCAGGAGAACGGTACTTGCCTGACTGCATTGTGGCAAGTGTAAAGTTTGGTGGAGGCGGGATTATGGTGTGGAATTGTTTTTCAGGGGTTGGGCTTGGCCCCTTAGGTCCAGTGAAGGGAACTCTTATGGCGTCAGCATATCAAGACATTTTGGACAATTTCATGCTCCCAACTTTATGGGAATAGTTTAGAGGTGACCCCTTCCTGTTCCAACATGACTGCACACCAGTGCACCAAGTAAGGTCCATAAAGACATGGATGAGCAAGTTTGGGATGGAGGAACTTGACTGGCCTGCACAGAGTCCTAACCACAACATGACAGAACACTTTTTGGATGAATTAGTGCGGAGACTACGAGCCAGGCCTTCTCATCCGACATCAGTGCCTGACCTCACAAATGTGCTTCTGGAAGAATGGTCAAACCTTGCCACAGAAACACTCCTAAACCTTGTGGACAGCCTCCCTAGAAGAGTTGAAGCTGTTATAGCTGCAAAAGGTGGGCCAACTCAATATTGAACCCTACGGACTAAGACTGGGATGCCATTGAAGTTCATGTTCGTGTAAAGGCAGGCGTCCCAATACTTTCGGCAATATAGTGTATATAAAGATATATATTACATACAGTATATAGGCCTTGATAAAAAAAAGATTGTCTACTGCCAGACCGTTGCCCAAAATGTTCAAAGAAAGACCATTTTGAATCTCCACTCTGATATTTTTTCCATATATGGGCTATCCTTAAATGAAAGCTAATTGTAGAGCAAGTGGATCAGAGCCAGATTTCTAACAATGCCTCATAGGCCATGGCCTAAGTACTTATTGCCCACCATGTCCTAAAATAGTGCATTTTAGTGCATAGTATTTATACTCATATTGCATATATATATATATATATATATATATATATATATATATATATATACAGTGCCTTGAAAAGGTATTCATACCCCTTGAAATTTTCCACATTTTGTCCTGTTACAACCAAAATCGTAAATGTATTTTATTGGGATTTATGTGATAGACCAACACAAAGTGGCATATAATTGTGAAGTGGAAGGAAAATAATAAATGGTTTTCAACATTTTTTACAAATAAATATCTGAAAAGTATGGCATGTATTTTAATGCAGCCCCCTTTACTCTGATACCCCTAACTAAAATCTAGTGGAATCAATTGCCTTCAGAAGTCACCTGGTTAGTAAATAGAGTCCACCTGTGTATAATTTAATTTCAGTATAAATACAGCTATTCTGTGTTTTTTAGAGAACATTAGTGAACAAACAGCACCATGAAGGACAAGGGACACACCAGACAGGTCAGGTATAAAGTTGTGGAAAGGTTTAAAGCAGGGTTAGGTTATAAAAAAAATTGCAAGCTGTGAACATCTCACGGAGCACTGTTCAATCCATCATCTGAAAATGGAAAGAGTATGGCACAACTGCAAACCCACCAAGACATTGTCGTCCACCTAAACTAACAGGCCTGGCAAGGAGAGCATTAATAAGAGAAGCAGCCAAGAGGCCCATGGTAACTCTGAAGGAGCTGCAGAGATCCATAGCTCAGGTGGAATCTGTCCACAGGACAACTATTAGTGTTGAACTCCGCAAATCTGGTCTTTATTGAATCTAACCAATTAGATTTAATTTTACTGAAGCCAAATTATTGAAAATGTTTTATAATTATATGCTGCAGACATTTTTTCAAACTGTTTACCTGAATAAACTTGAAAACTGTAAGTGGAAATAAACCCAAATTAACCTGGATGGCTTCTTGTGGATGTACACAAAAGAATTTTAAAGATATGCATACAATTTTACCTTAAATAGTATATAGGTCATTTGCCATATCAAACAACTGGTAAATGCATTTGATTAGAATAATGGACCCATTGTTTTCCAGGAAAAAAAAGCCAGTCAAAGTGACATGCAAAGAAATTCTAATTGGGTACACAATATAAGGTTAATATTCCTTGATATAGCTGCACTTTTTCCCCTTTTGTCCTCCACAACTCCTAATGAAAATTGCGAGACCTGACGGTAATGATAAGCAGTCATTCACACGTCCTTTGTGTCAAGGCTGAAGCATTAATGCCTTCCTTCATGTAACATTTTGCATAGCCTAAAGCATCTATTAAATTCCTTTGTAAAATTCATGAAACAAAAGTGGTGGGTTGAGTCTAGTGGGAGAGAAAGTAAGCTGCTTATTAGCAAAGAGTCAAAAATACAGAGCCAATTACAGATTTGAACAAGAAAGGCTAAGGGGTAGCACAGGGAGTAATTCCTTACTCAGCCCGATGGGCTCAAGCGAGAGGCATCTTGGATAAGAATATAGAAAATATTCTAAGCAGTAATTAAACTCAAATGTTTAGAGTTAGAAACAGCTCTATAACGGCACAAGAAATGTTCAAGTAAAACAGTTGTCTGGTCTCAGATAGATATTAAATTGGAGGGATTTTTATGAGATTTCCCTTAAGGAATGGATGAGGGTAGTCAAGAGAAGCCAGGAGCTCAGGAGATATGTAAAAATCTGTTTGGTATTTCAAATACTATAAATTAGATGAAAAATGAGCTTTCCTACTGAAGAAGTGACATAAAACGGAATAAACCACAATAAGATTGCCCTTCTTCCGTTATAAACTTGACATTAAGCCTGTCATGTTCAGTAGCATTTTAACAGACTTTGTTCTTCACCCTTTGGAACTGAGAAGATTGGCAGGTGCCACAATTTGCTTAAAAAAAAATCTAATTTAAATGCTTGGAAAATGTATGTGTTCAATTGTGTGTTGAACACATTGTCAAATATTTGGCATGTTCAATCCTTCAGGTACCCATGGAAAAACCAAGAACTGTTGTAAGTATCATTGGCTAATTTGTATGTACAGTACATTTCTGAATACATTTGTGATAGAAATGCTGTGTAAATTAAATGTTTAAAAAAAGAACGTTGACAAAAGCTCATCTAATTTCAACTCAACAAGTGTATAAGCCAGAACAAAGTTTATACATCCTAATAGTAGCAGCTAAGTTTTAGCATTATGGGATATAAAGTGGTGAACTGTCTTCTATGTCCCAATCATGCCAATGTTTCCTTTAAACTTTATTTACAAGCTTTTTGCTCAATTTACCTTCTGCGCAGAATTAAGCTGCAGTTGTTTTACCTTCACATCAATTTTTTCATTAAGCTATCTACTGTTTGAGAATCGACAGCCAGAAGATTTAAGTTTTGTCCACTGGAGAAATAAAACTTCATCCTAATAAAATCTGTGTACACAAGAGCCTTAGAGGTTCATCAAAATTTTGTTTCACTTACGATATGGTCCCTATGCAGATTTTAAACTTGGGCCTTGTGGCTTTAAGTGACGTGTTTTAAAAAAAAAAGTTGCACCCTGTCAAAGAACTGTTACAATACTTTCCATTCCTACAAGCAATTAATCCAATCTTTGTTCTATTGCAACTCTAGAAGTGCCACCAGAAATTTCAGTGATCAGCACTGGGGAGTGTGCCAGATGTTTGCACCCCTTGCTGCCAAGGGCTACATCAGAAGCTGCAGAGTTGCTTTAAGCTATGTATAGATAAAGCATCTATCTATCTATCTATCTATCTATCTATCTATCTATCTATCTATCTATCTATCTATCTATCTATCTCTCCTCTCCACTGAAATGAACTTGCATAGTGTTGCTTACTGGAATGAACAACTTGATTTTGGGATTTATAATAAATGTGAGACATCCAGATCTACAGTGTTTCATGTCGGTTCAGTAGAGGGCTTTTTTCTTTGTTTTTTTGACGAACCTAATCATAACCTTCTTATATTTTATTTACAAAAGTCATAGCAAAAAATTTGCAAACATGCATGTTTATGTATTTGACCAATCTTAAAGTAGTATTAAATCCAAAAGCAAACATTTATTATATTGCAGCTTACAGTTTATTAGATGCAGTGGCTGCATTCATTTTCTTTTTTAGGCTTTCTTTCCTTTATTTTCATCTGGTAATCCAGCTAGTAAGTCTGTTGTTTTTTCTTCTAGATGTATCAGTTTACAGGGAGGAGAAAAACTATTTAACACTGACAGGGGTGCTTATAATGATCAGAATTATTTATTCATGTAAAACCTTTATCCCAAAAGGAAAAAAAAAAAACTGTTTGCTGTAACTGATTATAAAGTTTGAGTTGATGTTTGGCTTCAATTTGTTAGCAAATCTGTTGGTACATTTAACACTTCTTTCCCCCCCAGACTGACATTACTGCTGCCCAAAGGTGTCCTTGTGCTCCTTCATCCAGAGTGAAGGCACTCTAACCCCTGGTTCACATCTATGTGGCCGTGCGGGCCGCGTTTTGCACGGGCACAAGAGCCCATTCATTTGAATGGACTCCCGTGCTCTTGACACGCAGGGAAAGAAGTCCCTGCACTTCTTCAGAAAACGCAGCCCACACGGGAACCTCGGTTCCCAGTACGGTTGCGTTTTCCAGTGAGGGCGGCGTGCCATTAGAACTAATTGCACCCACCCGCGGGTCCGCATTCCTCTTTGCGACGGATTTTCATGCGGATCCGCAGCGGCACCACCCGCACATATGTGAACCTAGGGTGATACAGGAGGTGTGTTTACCGGCCAGATCACCAGGTGAAAATAGATGGGAAA